CAAGCCTGCACATTTGCACACCTCCTTTTCTTCATTGGTTTCCTGTTTGTCTCTGCCTCCTATTGTACCTGTTTCCGTGTCTTGTCCTCCTACTTTCTCTCCTTTATGAGTGCCTGCTCCATGGGTCCTCAAGGTTCACTGTTGATTTGTTTGTCAATGGCTTGAGTGTCCCCAGTGATTACGTGGTGGGTGTAGAGGTTTGGTGGGGGACAGGTTTTTGCACTTTGCCACTCTTTGGGAGCCCTTCACCACAGAGGGTTTTGCCTGGGATTTGCATGCCACTAGGCTTGAGCTACCTCACCTAAAAAACAGCATTTAACATCAACTTTGCTAGTGCATGTTGTTATCATCATGTAACAACATCCCTCCACCAATAGGAGGTAAACACAACCTCCTTGTGCAGTAGTTCCCCCTAAGCATTTGTGCTAATGTTAACTTCATTCTTTTTCTCAGCATTGTCTTGAATGGATTTGGTTGAGATTTGTAATAGTTTAGAACTAAGTTAGCTTTCATTAAACACCACAAGGCTTTTGTATAGATACAGACTTATTTGCTTACTTTTTAATTAAATACTCTTACTACAAATTTGTCCATAAATTGAGTCTTGAGTTTCTGTTCCGAGTGGAAATTTATTTTCATGTTATGATTCAAGATACTTTTCTTCACCTGAAAGTAGTCAAATTTCATTTAAATAATCTCAAAACTTCTGATTAAATATCAAATTTTTTTCCTCAGGAAAACTATATTTTATCATTATATTTTCTCTGCCCTAACTATAAACATTCAGTCAGTTTGACCAGCTTCTTAACTGCCATAAAAAATACAAATGAATTTTAAGGTACACTTTTTTTCTTTTTTAGAATGGCTGCATATTGTAACAAGAAACTAAATAACTTAAAGCTCGAACATTATATCTGTTTATACTTAAACTTTGTTTTATTGCCCTTTGACCCATGTCTAACTGATAATGCTGTCACACAAGTTGTAAGTTATTTGGTGAACACCTAGCTCAAGTTACCACATATATTTGCGTAAGGCACGAGCTGCTTGCAAGCATACCTGATGAAGATTTTTTTTTTGTTATCTTACCTAGTCTGACCAAACAAGCATCTAATTTTTATATTTTAATTGCTTTTATAATAACAAAGAATACATATGAAAAACAAGAAATATAGTACTTACCGATCAAAACTTAACTATATATATATATTCATTTATTTAATATTAATGGTACTACTACTACATTACATTTATTTACTTAATTATATAATGTACCTAATGACACAGAATAGTAATATGTAAAAAAAATGTCCTTTAACTATCATACATTTTTTGTGTGATAAGAACCATTGAATATTCAGCTAATCTCATCAATGTGTTTCATGTGGGAATAAAGTTTGAAAGGGAGACAAAATAGACAATTTTCTGTACAGAAAACAACTTAATATAATATGTCATTTGATAGATTTAAACTTTGGCTTTCTATTCGTTATAAATATATCATATTATGATATAGTATAAAACATCTGAGCAAACTATTGACAATTTGTGGAAGAGAGGGTGTGACAAGTGGGTCTGATTTTCTAGTTTATGACTACATAAACAAATAAGATTGTAGGCTATAAAATTTATGCTTTGCCTGAGTAATAACAATATAAGTAATTTATATTAAATTCTGTACTTCTCAGAGGGGTGGTAAGAGGGAAGATCTAGAGCAAATGTCACAATTCTCATACTAGGGGATCTTGAGGATTTTAAAAAAAATTTCCTTATAAAATTAAGAACTTAAAACATGTATATGACTAAAAGTTGATTAATTAACCACAATTTGATACCAAGATTATTTGTATATTATGATAACAAAATAGTTTAATTAGATTTTGAATGTAACTCTTAAAAACGTCATGACGTTCGCTTTCGCCTGCTTGTGACAGTGTGGTTATTGGGCACCTATATCATGTATAACAGTTAGATAAGTTTGTTTCTGAAGTTAAGCTGATATTAATAAAAGTTTCAAAAAAAATTAACTGAATCAATTTGACTTGCTTAACCCTATTGCCACAGGTATCCTTTACTGCACATGACACAAGGTTTTAGTGTCTTACATTCAATATTGTACTAAACTACTTTTTGTTTATGGTATAGCAATTAGAATAGCATAAAATCTTAGCTAATAATCCATATTGTAATAGTATACAAGTTTTAAGTTCTTAATTCTACAAGGCAATATTTAAAAAAATCCTGAATTTCCACTCGTTTGACCCACTTGACACATTTTCTCTTAGCATGTCATCATACCCATTTTTTCCACCACCTCTCAAAAGTACGAAATTAAATGTAAATTACTCTATATAAAATCGTTATTGCTCAGACAAACCATAATTTTAATAGTCTTCAATTTTGTTTGGTTACAGAGCAATCAAATAGAAAATTGGACTCCTCCTGCCACACCCACCTGGCACATTCTCTCTTTCAGAATTCATTGATAGTTCTCTCTTACATTTCATTATATATTACCTATAACCAATAGAAAGTGAAGGTTTTCATCTATCAAATGACGCATTGTATAACGTTGTATTGTGAATAGAGAATATCGTCAGTTTCACTCACAGTACAAGGTTCATTCCCATGGAAAAGTTAAAGACTAGCTTGGATGAATTTATAATGCCTCTTGTAGTATAGTTTGAAAGCCAGGAAAATTTTGAGAATTAAGTGAATTTGTCTACTTTTTTTGCATGTTATTAGTCTATATTCTTTGGTGCATTATTTAATTAAATAAAAATTAAGTGCATTACTATCATTAGTATTTAAAAAAATATATTAGTGTTAACTCTCCTCGAAAACTGACAGCAAGAACAAAGAAGATTGGTTTAGTATTTTATTTCTTGTTTTTCATACTTATTCTTTATGTATAATTATAAAAGTGACTAAAATGTAAAAATAGGGATCCTTATAGGTTTGTTAAGATTAGGTAAAATATATAATATAAATGTTTCACGAGCTGCACATTCCCAGAGTGATTTACAACCTATAATGGCACGGATAGTAGTTGGACACGGTTCAAAGGGCAATAAAACAAAATTTAATTATAAATAGATGTATACTGTTATAAACTTGGAGTTACTTGAGTTTAGTTTCATGTTCAATTTGAAGTCATTCTAGAAAGAAAAAAGGGGGAATTTAGGTCTTTTTGTTTATGGTTACAAGGTTGGTCGAAGTGACTGATCCCGTTCTGAGATAGGGTAGAGAAAATAACAGATAAACTATAAGGATTTAGTGAAAAAAATGTTTGAAATGCATTTAGAAGGTTTTTAGGGCTTACGCAAAAGTATTTTAATTTTAACATGAAAACATTTTAACATTTTCTTTGTGGTAAATGACATTTGTAAAGGTAACTTAGAAAAATGTGATATTTAATAACAAAGCATGCTCATAATCACATGGATACACAACTTAAACCTGCACAACACTTTAAGATTATATTTATTGTAGTAGTTAAACCTTAGCCATTAAAAATGTGTAGATTACCCCCCACCCCAACTTTCTAATGTAACCGTACCTGCCTGTACTTGTAACAAATATAACTATAGCACCAAATCCATCAAATAATATATAAAATATAAGATACCTACCTTGAATCACTTGCTTTAATTTATGTTCCCAACAATATTCACTGGCTATGCAATATATTTTCCATGTTCAGCTTTTATAACCTCTTTGAATCAAGTCGAATGTTAAGTCAAAGTCTTGATGGCTTCATGTCACTTAGGGACCACCATGAAATAAATTTGTTTGTATAAAATCATCTGCATCAATGAAAATACTTTGAAGAAGGTAGATATTTACAGATGAACCCAAAAATTACACCAATCTTAGCAGTTCTTTCAGCTAAATGCAGTGGAACATTGGTGTCCATAATTAATAACACAAGAATTAGCAAACTGAAAAAAAATTCTTTTTTTTAATTACCATATTTTGCAGTGTATAAGGATACTTTTTACTCTTAAAACAATGCCAGATTTTTACTACTTATCTTATACATGGGTTCAACGATAGAGTTCCAGGAATAACTCTTTAGTTAATAGCATATTTAACCAAAACTATGTTGTTACTTTTACTTTTGTTTGCTTTTTTTGAGTAAGTGCATTGATATCATGCCACCTACTGCATTACAATAACATATTTGTAATTGTATCATTTGTCTCATTCTTCATAATTTGAAGTTGTTTATCTCTCATGCTAGTTACAATTAATCTACTTTTTTTTAATTTATTGATCTCATCTGTCATACTAAAATATTTCTAATATATAAAAAAATGTTAGTTTCTGTAACATACACTAATTTTGTAAACATGTTTTTATAGTAGATCACTATATCTTAACGTTTAATATTTTTTTGTAATAGATAAGGAGTTCAACTGTGATGAAGAACTTTGTAAAGTTGTTTATTACATGTTTGTGACTTAAGTTATGCTGCAATGAGCTGTCTGCAGCATTTGAAGAGCATAAAAAAAACCACTTGTAGTTGTATTGATTACCCCAGAGTGCAGGTTAGTTAGGAGAGTTTAAAAAGAATGTCTTTACAAAAGTAACATCCCAGAGTTTCTTGACATTCTATACAATGAACCTCAAATAAATACACTAAACTTACAAAAAAAAATCCAGGGTCATCTTATACACCAGCAAATATGGTAATAAATCTGTTTTTTTCAGAACTAGAAAAACCTAAAGTGAATAATCCATGTTGGTTTAGTTGTTCTATATTAACAAATGAAATACGAACATAGTTGTTCTATGTAGTAAGTAAAATAAAGTGACTGTTCGAATGTATTAACAATTGTATGCCCTGTAGAAGAAAATTTACTAGGTAACTGTTTCTATACACCTTTTTTCTTAGTACTCGCATCCATATGTATATATGAAAAAAGTTTGAATGTCATCAGTTTTACTTTTCAACTTTATGGGGTTTTTAGAATCCCCCCCTGGAATTTTTGTTCTAGGATGAAGACACAGAGGAAGGATATCCATTCTCTGATGAGAGTGATAGAGGACCTCTGAAGAATGGAAGCAACCAGTTTCCTAGCCAGGTTGGATTTTTGTCCTGAAACCTGCTCTGGAAGTGTGCTGATTTGTGCTTAATTTTTGACTCATTCTAACAAATATTATGTGCATATAGTCCTCTTTTGAAAGTGTTCAGATAGTTGGTTAAGGTTGCGTCATTCTAATATCTGTAGTTGTAATAGTTTTGTAAGAAAATGTGTTGATGCCTGTGTATGGTTTGAAAGTTTGCTTACAGTTGTATTTTAATACCTGTAATTAATGTAATATACTCTGAAATTTGCAGTCACTGAAGTTTAAATTCATTCTGAAAAATATATTTGTAAGATTTTCTGAAAATGTTATGCATTTACTGCAATTGGAGCTCTCTGTCTATACTTGCTTAAGTTTGATATAAGTCTTAACAAAAATAGTACACATAGTTATTGCTTGCTGTGAAAGAATGCTGACACTTACTTGACTTGCAATACATTCCAAAAAATTGATGTAGCTACATGTTCTGCTTCAGAAATTTGTGAACAATTGATGAGGTTTGTACTTGATTGAAAACTTTGATACATGCATTTCCTTGGGCTTTTGCTAATTAAAGGAGATATGCATTTTTATTTTTTGTAGGATTATTATGGACATCACCAATAGGGTCACTGCATGCAAATATCCTTCCCCCCAAAAAAACAACAACAACCTTAAACTGTCAAGGAAAATTACATCTAGTACTGCAATAATTGCCAAACCCCAAAACATTCTGTGTGGTATGCATATAGGTTGTGCAGTTTTACCATGTGGCTTATTTGTAGTTATTTAATTTTGCATATAAATTTGTATATTTTTAACAAGAGCTTACATATGCTTATTTTTGCTATGAAATTGGTAGTCTTACCAATTATTTATGCATTTTCTTTTTTTGTTTGCAATTTCATAACATCTAGTTTCTTATGATCTGAAATAAATGTGAAAAGTTGCATGTATTTAGAATCACTGTGGAATAGTTCCAGGATCCTTGGCTTAATCTAAGCGAATACTTTATAAATTTATCAATAAAGGCTTCAAGCCCCTGTCAGTCAATTCTCCTCCCAGATCTTTGCATGTTAAATACTTATTTAGCAATTATTCTTAACTCAGTGTTTATGCACAAGGAAGAATTTAGTGGTGGGCATTTAAGTACCAGCATGTGCATGATGTATAATATTAATTGAATTTGTTTAGTAATGAAGATTCATATTTGTAGCAAACTACTAAAATTTTTCTTGCAGTTTGAAAAAGTTTCATAGAAAAGTTTGTGGAAAATGTTCAATTTTGAGATGTTCAGCAATTTGGGTGTGTCAGGAAGTGGCACTGATGATATAAATGGTTATTACATTTTAAATAGTTCTTTATTATTTGAAATAAAATTGTTAGTTAAATCACTTACATAAAAGTCAGTGATATTCACTTTTGAAGTAGTTAAGCTTACAAGTTTTAATTACTATTTTTTACATAAGAATATTTAATTCAAATTGTGCAACAGAACCTAGAATTTTTAGTAAGGGGAGGTATTGCAACTTTTTAAATAAGTACTAAGTAAAATTAAAATATTCTGTAGCATTGTTAACTAAAGTGGAAAATGAAAAGCATTGTTTTGAAGATTGTCATTTTTCATTAAAAGTATGTACAGATTGAGTTGTATTGCTTTATTATTCTTTATCTGTAGCATGGTGAAGGAATTATGAAACCTTATCAGCTATAAGTATATAATACAGAAATATCAATGACATCATACATAAGCACTGAAAATTACCAGTGATAAATTGGTAATCATTAGCTTATTTTGACAGTTAAGAGCAATTTCCTGAAGAGAAAAACAACCCTTGTTGCTATTCTAATATACCAAAGTATTATCAAATGTGAGTGTAAAGTGTAGCAAACCTGTTTGCCCACGATAAGCTTGAGTAGACTTTTTTTGTGTTAAAGCATATAATTTGGATTTGGATACTGTTGCAATAAATTTATTCTGCATAAAAGTAAACTTTTGACTGAAATTCATTAAAGAATTTGATTAATATGTCAAGCTGAAACATTAATAATAGTATTCTAAAATATAAATAAACAATCTAATCTTTAAATTTTAGTTGTGATTAATTTTGAAAATTATAGAACTGACAAGGGAAATAAAAAGATAATCCATATAGCTGTTTTGTTGCTGATATATAGACCCCTTTTAACATAAGAATGGAAGTAATATTTTTGTGTATTGTGCCTTTCAAAATAGAAATAAATTAAGTCTTGCATAAATATTAGCATTGGCAACCATAATTTCATAATGTGTGAATTTCAAATTTTTTAAGTTTAATTTTATTATACATACTGATCTTTATTCTCAACTTACTTATATAAAGGAGTTTGTGCTAAAAACAAATGGTACAAATAAATGATTTTCACTACATAACTTTAAATACACCAACTGTATCCTTTTTTGTTGTTGTTGTGTCATGACTTAGTATGGAAATTTTAGACCTGTACTGCTGCAAAAATGTGTATATTATTTTTTATAAATTTATTTTTTGAATTATAAACAATAATACTGATGTATTGCTATACTGGGATTTGCATGAATGTTTTTATATAGAAATACCTATTGTACTTTCACATCTTCCAATTTTATATCTGTGCATAAGGATTAAATCTGTAAATCAACAGTCATCTAGTTTTGATACTTCACAGTATGTGTTCTAGGATTTTATTGACCACTTAAAATTTATACTTTACAATTTTGTAGAAATATAATGTTGAAATAAAATAAGTGATGAATTACTTTGTCTTTTGGTTATCCTTGTGTGGGAAATTTAAGAATGTTTATAAGAATGTTTAAGTGAGTAAGCTTGACCAGAGAGTTAGTTTATTAGTAAAATGAGTCCTATGTATATATTCCAGCCCACATATTCAAAGGTTTTTCACTTTTAAATTGGTTTAATATTTAATACATATGTTTATTTCTTAAATTTTTTTGCTAATTAATTTATTACAAAAAAAAATTTCTTGTTCCTGTTTGCTAAAGTACTAATATATTCTGAAATGTAAATACAAAAACAACTATTAGTTCAAAAGTGTTAATTCTTTAACTCATTTTTTAATTGTTTCATGTACTTTAATCCTTTTGGCACACCTGTTGCCATATGGTGACCCCATAACATGTAGGGAGTTTTCTGCTAGAAATGCAAATCAAACACACACAATTAGTAGACAAAGCCTAATCTACATAGATGAAGATCTTGGCTGCCAGTTCATATCCATCGTGGTGTATGTTGCTATTAAAAAAAAAATTGGTAATATTTGCAGTTGAAATTTGTTTAATTTTATGAGAAAATGGCATCAAATGGCTCCATTGTTATCACACTTGAAGAGGCAATTGAACTTGTACAAGCTGATGGTGATTCTGGGTTTGAACCTGAATTATATGATGATTTTGAGGGTGAGATGACTGATACTGATGTGGATAGTTATAGTAATAATGCCAGAGCTGAGCCTGTTGGAGCAACTGATGATGGTGACAGTGATATTGCTTACAAGATTCCCATTTCTAAAAGGGCTAAATATTAAGGTAGAATTCAAGGGAAGCCTCATAGATATGGTGCAGGACATAATAATGTACCACTTGCCAGTGCAGATGGGTGTACAACTAAACATGCATATGGTCATGATTGACTTTTTCATGGTAAACAAGCTAGACATGAACTTCATGATGCAAATAATGATCGGTGGAGGTTGGTGGTGAGTTATGAACATTTTCAGTCATATGTTTTCAAATGAGGATGGTGATGTATCAGTCACTCATAGGGTTGTTTAGAATATGATGGCACCATACATTGATGAAGGGCATGAACTGTATATAGACAGTTATTACACTAATGTGTCTTTGGCTAAGGAACTGTTTAATAAGGACACAGGTCTGTAGTACAATGAATGTGAACTGTTGTAGCATGCTGACAGCTTTGAAACCTACTGTCTTACCTCTCGGGAAAGGTGACAGTCCTGTGTTTATGAGGAAAGAGAAACTGATCACATATAATTGTTTTATTATTTCAAAAAACTGGCCTAAAGATGACAAAAATTGCTTATTCAAAGGGCTTCTGAACAATAAATGCAACATAGCAAAGGGTAAAAAATAATAACTTGCAACTGTTTTTTGGTGAAATTAAGTGATTGTGTCAAATCAGAAGTAAAAAACTACAAATTTTAAAAATATGGTGGCCATATTGGAAGTGACATCTGATATGCAAATTAGGTCTAATTATTTGCATCACTTCAATCTTCTGGTTGTGCTGAAGAATTTTTTCCATACGTATGTCTTGGGCTATTTAAAATTGTTTGAGGTACACTAGATCTAATTAGACATGAATATACTTAAACAAACAAAAAAAAAAAAGTGCCTAAAGGGTTAATGTATAAATACCAAACATGTAAGAAGTTAGTTTTATTTAAAACTTAGTAATGAATAAAAATATAATTTAACCAATTTAAACTTAGATAATCTAATGTAATTAAATTCTAATTGCATTTTTATAATTACTAAGTTTATTTGGAGGAGGGTTATGATTGGGAATCTTGGTAGTCATTTGTCAGTGTTAAAGTGGGTTAATAGTGAGGAATTAGTGTAATGCACATCTCAAATAGTCTTAAAACATGGGGTGTGAATTAATGTTTTTTTTATATAAATAAGTTGTTTTTTGTGTTCATATCTATAAGTGCAATGAATTTATTAAAGCTTTTCAGCTTTAACATGTTTGACAATGGCTATAATCTTAATATATTTTTTCCTTCACGAGAAAAACTGATTTTATTTTATGAAAATATTATTTCAGGCAGAAAAAAGAGCTCATCACAATGCACTTGAAAGAAAAAGACGAGATCATATAAAAGATAGTTTCAGCAGCTTGAGAGATGCAGTGCCATCTCTACGAGGAGAAAAGGTATTTGTACAGTGAACTTTTTTCAGTCTTTCATTTTATTGTATATTTTCATCTGTCTTCTCTGTCAAACCTTATTAAAACCATATTGCTTCAAAACTCCTTGGGTGTTTATAAAGAACAGACTTGTGTTGCAAAATTAATGTTTTTGTTTGTAAAATTAAAATGACAAATACACTGTATGTAGGTGGTAGCTCAAGTTAACCACAAGATATATTTGTAGAATTTTATCAAGGGCTAAAGTAAGGACCTGAGCTAAAAAACAAGAAATACAAAATTAACCATAGATTCCAGAATCTTTTTATCTACATTTCTTCAGCTTTCTGAAAGACTGCACATTTTCTACTGTTGTAAAACACGCCTTTTTTTGATTGTTTTATTACATGATTATGAAATCGTGACAATGAATGCACAAATATGATTTTGAATATGGGGCCAAGTTTTCACTCATTTGAAAAGCCTTGCTGGAAACTGAATGAAAAATTCAAACCTTTTAGAATGAAATAATGTGTCTTCATCCTTGGATTATATATGCTAAAATTTAAGCATTTACACTGTTTTTAGCTTCCCATTGAAAATTCTCACAAGAATATAAAATCTCTTTGTAAATGTACTTAAAGATTTCTATAGAACTAATTCTAGCATATGTTTTTTTGTATTGCTTTGTTTTCAAAGGTTTAACAAGTATTTCTCTTAACAAATTTAATAAATGATACTTAATTTTTTTTTAACGTTACATAGGTAAGGAGCACTTTATTTCAGGTTTGTAATTATATCACATTTTCTGTACTTTGATTAGATTTTCCATCAGAACTATAAAATTACTTTGCAAAAAGAGACATAAAAGTACATCTTTTATCATGTATTTTAGGAATTACGTAACATTATTTGATAGCATTAAATCACTGAGTTGCTACATATGTTGTCTAAACTTTTTCGGAATTAAGGTAGATTTCATTCACATTTGGTGTGTTGAATGCAAGCATCTAGACATTTTAAAGTGAAGTTGACTAACGTTTTTTTTTTTAGCAATTTGAGTTTGATTACACCAAAGTTTACATTAACCTTGTGTTCATGGGTGGGTGTCAAAGTGAGCATTTCATGACTTTTGCAGAGTTGCATTCCAAATTTAAATTGCTTTATTATCAAGTTATATTAGTTAGCTTGGCATCAAAATGTAGTTTATAAATCAAATTTTAATGGTATATGTGTTTTTAATATCTTAATTTCAAAAGGAAATATTTAAAATTCCCAATTTTCACTTCTTCATATCACATGGTACTTGTTTGCTATGAATTACAAATTTATAGTGTAGATGCTGCTAAGACATTATCTGATATTATATTCTTTATGGAGGTATAAACCAGAAAGTCAAATCCATTTGCCATGCCTTCCTATCACATCCATCTTTCAAAAAAGGTCGTATCTTTTTAACATAATATTTGGTATTGGATTGTTTATAATCAATAAAAAGAGAATATTTTAATTTACTAATTTTCATATAAGGCTAGCTTGTTCTCTTAATAGGTTTTTAATTATTCAGCGTACAGTCATTGTTGCTATCATCAAGGTCACTTCAACAAGGTAAGGGAATTATTTTAATATACCTGTAGCTTAGTTAGAAAGTCAGTTGAATTATAATAGTCTTAGGTCATTATGTTTTACATATGATATTTTGCTCCTGATTGCATATTTGAAATAATTTTATATACTACTACCACTATTACAAAAAAAAAAGTAGGATTAAGTTTTGTCAGAGCCCAAGAATAAATAAAGGAGGCCAGATGTAAGTACTGAATTTCTTGGTTTTTATGTATAATTTCTATTTATTGCTATAAAAGTAACTAAAATGTAAAAAATTATAAACTTGTGTGGTTAGATTTGAAGACATAAATGAAAACAAATTTTCTCAGCAAGGTATGTATGCAAACTCCTTATGCATTTTGGAATTCAATACTTTGTTTACTGTAACTTGACCTGTTTTTACTAAAAGCTTACCAGATTTTGTAAAGATACACTAAGTAAATTTGGAATTATAATAAACATTAATTCCAATACAAAAAGCTGTCTCGATCTTCTTTCTGCCCTCTAAGCATTACTGCAAAAAATTTTCAAAGCACCAGTCTATATACCTAACCAATTTCTTGCCACTATTGAGCATGTACATAGCATGTGATTACTCTCCACCAATAGTATTCCACTACCTATATTGGCACAGCTAACTTCCTCTGCTATTCCCATTTAATCATCACTTTCTCAATTGGCACTACATTGTTTAGACATGTGTTTTTCTCATCTCCCCTTATGATTGTGTTTCTTTGTCATTTCACTTTGTTTTTCCAACAGTTTTATTTTACTGTGTTTGCATTCATTTGTTTCAACAATGTTTTTTGCTTTTGTTCCCTGTTCCTGAATTATAAGAGAACTTTATATGAATTCATGATTCAATGTATCGACTATGGACACCTCATATATGCCTTTACCACTCACTGGTACACCAAACCTCCTCCTTCTTGGTCTCTCATTCCACGTCTACTAACTCTAGGGGTGGGCATGTTCAGTCAAGATTGGAGGGGTTTTCACATCTATGTTTACTCTCTTATTTGACTCTTCTCTAGAGTTCTATCCATGATCCAAACATGTGTCTGGCCCTAATGGTGGCTTCATATTAGCTGGCTCAACAATGGTTCCCACTGTGTCGACCTTTACTTGTACAACCTCCTCTACCTTACCTCTGTGTTGGTCTCTACTCAATCAACCTCGATCGGACGTTGTTCATGCAGATGTCACCACATTCTGTCTTCATGAATGGTTTTTGTCAGGTCCATTGCTTCAGACCAGGTACTAGCTCCATGTGTTGCAACTTTCCTTTCCCATTCCATCAGACCTTTGTCCATTTACCAAAGGTGATGGTCTATCTTTTGCCTTTGGTCTCTTCAATGTGGTTTCCATCCTTCCCATCTCTCCATTCCTCATCTGATTGTTTGACAAAGGTATGTCCACTTTGACCATGTCTAGCTATCAGATGGCTTTGTCGAACACTTTCTGTTTCTCTAGTTTCATAAGGTTTTGTCTTCCCCTTCCTCTTATATCATCCTATATCCCAACCAGTCCTTTCTCTCTAAAACCAAGGCTGCCCATGTAGGCACACCCATTTCCTTACCTTCCATCTCCCACCTGTTCTCTCATTCTGATCCTGATCAGCTTCTTTGTCTGGTTAGCTCCTTATGGTGTTATGTGGCACGTACTGCCTCCTTTCAGAGCTTATGTTCTCAAATTTTTATTCCCTGAAACCTTTCCAGTTCCTGTGCTCTATTCTCTGTCACACTCACTGGTTGGGTTCTTCAACTCGTTAGGCTGGTGTATTCAGACTTATCCATGGAAGGTTGCAGTCTCCACAACATTTTTTCTCATCAAATTTGTCATCTCACCATGTTTTGGGCTGCTTACCTTCACCATCTGTTAGAGAAGATCATTCAGGCTGTAATATGGATTACTCTCAATACATTTGCTACTCATTATCTGCACGATTTGGCTGTATCTTCCTCAGGTGGATATCGTCTTGCTCTCATGGCAATTCTAGAGATGTCTGTTCACCTTTGATTGGGCTAAGTATTATCACTTCCTTTCATTTATGTTTCTTTTTTTAGATATCCTCTCTTTCTTTGTTTCTTTTTTATTCCCACTGATAATGGGATCCCATTCTGTTGCAGATGTTGCCTGGTCAGATATGCTTTGTCTTAAACCCATACTATTTACTGATTGCACTATAATGCTTACTTTAGAGATGGGGTGTTCCATAAGACCACTGGTGGCATACCCTCTGGTGTATAAATGTTTCTAGATATCAGCAAGTTTCACTCAATGGTCACTGTCAATGGACTTCATATGTAAAGCAGATCTTTGATTGAATAAATTGGGGTAGGTGCGCTTTTCGAAATAGGGTTTCACATTGCACTTTCTCTGTGTGACAGTCCTCCAGACTCCCCACTGCATTTACTTCTCCCCTTTTATATTCCAGTGGAGAAAAGGAGTCCCTCCCAGTTACTGGGGTAGTGGACCATGGAGGCTTCCTCGTGAGTGAATTGTAGAATTTTAATTTAGCATACATCCTCATGATTTTTGACTCGGTGAGAAGAGGGCAAGCTGTTTTCCCTCCTTACATTTCCTATGGATGCTTTTTCCCAGGTGAACAACTGTTGGTTCGAGCAGAACCAGCCTATGTGGGATCCTCCTAGTAATACCAGTTTTGGGATGACATCGCCCTGTTCCTATGGTTGTGTGCAGTAGAGACTCCTTCTCTCATTAATTCCATTTGCAGGAGGATCTTTCTCTGCTCCTACAATTAAGTTTGGGGGACTTCATTTGCCTTGTAATACCAGCAGTGGGATGTACATTTGTAATACTGGTTGCAAATATTGCCCTGTTTTTATGGTTGAGTTGAGGCAATGCCATGACTCCATAATCCCAGGTTCGATTTGCTGTACTTTTTTGCTCCTACAGTGGTTTTGGGAGTTAGTTCAGTTTCAACTGACTGCTGACTTCCTCTTTGTAATTCCGGTTGCTTGACATATGACACTGTTTACATATGGTTAGGGTTGATGAGTATATGTAACACAGTCCACATGCCCTAGTCACTATGTTTATGTTGCACTATAGTTGTTTTTATCCTCAACATCCTAATGCCAAGGACAGGTTATGGAACTTCGTCTGTTCGGGAGAGGTTGGGTATCTACATAGGTTTATTTAACATCCTAATGCCGAGGACAGGTTATGGAACCTCATCTGTTCGGGAGAGGTTGGGTATCTTCATAGGTTTATTCAGTTTATATTTTACTATTAATTGCACCTTCCTGAACAAATTGCACTTGTGAACATTCTTTTTTTCTATCGGCATCAGATTAATTTCCTGTTTCAAGGGCGAAGATCATACCTGTTCCAGATGTAGTGCGGTAACTTGTACATGCGCTTTGTTTTCATCTTGGAGCACACCCATTCATTCT